TAATGTTCTTAGCGAGGCCCGCCGTACGCGCTGTTTCTACCCAGAGCCTGTTTAGTTTACGATACTGTTTGGTGAATTCCTTTTCGGATGATATGCAATATACTGTTTCGTCTTGTAAATGCTGTCTAGTAATTGCGGTCTCTAGCTCCCTAGGCATGATGACGAATTCACCTCCCTTATCGCTAACGCTTATTCTGATGACATTTGTACTTACGAGATCCCGTAGTTCCTTGAGACCCCTGATTTGCGCTGGTGTAAGATTCGATTTTTGGCGCATGCGCATATGTGTTAGGGCAGTACTTTAAACAACTAAGGGGACTAGCCATGGGGCAACGCTTGGCACCTGCCTTAGCTATAAGCTTCATGTCCAAAATAGAAAATTGCGTAATTTCCCGCGGACCCACCCTCTACTGCCGCTACATCGATGATTGTCTCATCGTTTGTCCCACACAGGCAGAAATGGATGTCTGCTTCGATCTACTCAACAAGCAATCAGCTGACATAAGGTTCACCAGGGAAAGACCAAAAGACGACTGGTTGCCATTCCTCAATGTTCAGATAAGCCTGAATAGGGGGGAATGTAAAACTAGCTGGTACAGGAAGCCCACTAGCAAAAATATCTTGATACACTACTCATCTGCGCATCCTATCCGTACAAAAACCAGCGTGATTGGAAATATGCTTCGTACGGCCAAGAGGGTGTCATCTGATGGCATTCTTAAAGCCGCATCAGTCAGTAAGGCACTCCAGATTGCGCAAGCTAACGGATATGAGCCCAGAAAAGTAGTGCGGCGCGCGGTCAGGCTGCAGAGGGAACCTAGTGATAAGGTACCGTTTTGTTTCCCCTTCATCTCGGACAGGCTGAGCAGCGCAATTAGGACGTGTGTGCGAAAGGCAGGCCTGCAGGATTTGTTGCGAGTTGTCGAATTGCCTCCCCAAAACCTAAAGCGGCGCTTAGTAAGAAATAGAGCATACGATAAGGCCTGCACAACAACAGATTGCGTTATATGCGCTACCAATAAACAAGGGGACTGTATGTGCGCAGGTGTGATCTATCTCTTGACTTGTAAATCATGTGGCGAGGAGTACATTGGCGAGACGGGTAGGCCACTATGTCTGAGAATCAAAGAACACATGGACGGGATGCGTAGATCGAGATTATCCACGCCCCTAGGCACGCACCGTAAGCAGCGCCATCAAAACACAGAATTTGATATCTCTATATCAATTCTGTCGCGAGAATCAGAAGTGGCGGCGCGAAAAACATTAGAAGCCTGCTGGATTTCCGCTAGGAATCCAAAAATGAATAGGAAAGAGGAATGCATCGCCATCACAAATGAACTCGCGCCGTTCCTGGAGTTATGCGGGTTTGACCAACACCCTCATACCCAGGTGCCGTAGCTCATTAGTCACTCAACGCATGTCAGTGGTGGTCTGCAGTCCTCACTCGGCAGGTTTAAGGTGAGCTGTCTATAGGCATTCACAACTTTCCCTTTTCCTGTGACGATAGGACAACTGGAGGATAGATTTCATTTACTGCTCACTTTTTAGGCTCTGAAGAAGGCGAATCAGCCGAAACGTAAGCCTAATAAAAGAGTTGTAACAATCTTGGTCAAGGCTTAACAACTGCACATAAGGATTCATCACCATGCCAAGATTCATTCAAAGCCGAACATGGGATGTCATTTTTCTAATGTTATTCTAGTTTTTTGCTCGAATTTAGCACATAATTTTTTTGAAAAAACTTGACGGTTTTTTGAATTATTTCTCAGTAATTTAACACTTGAATAAAGTTTTGAACCAAGAAAATGTTGTGTTCAATCAGTTAAATTCAGTAGCTGCTTTATGATGATGGCACGGTTTTTCTCTTTCATTTGAGCCTAATTTCACCTTCGTACGATGACTTTGAAGGTTTTTGGCTTAGAGCCAGCCCTGAAATTCAATTGAGATTTTCAGCATTCCTTGGCTAGGTTCCAAACAGGCTCTCAAGGGGGCGGGGCTTAGATTGTTGCTATGTCCTAGTGGGTAATCGGAGCCAGCGAGCATGACTGTAACCTGCGGGCACTCCCCGAATCGAGCTAATTAGGCTCGGGTTCCCAAGTTCCGTCCCCCATTGGGTTCGGGTTCCTAAGTTACCGCACCCCTTGGAATCAACAAAGGGGCTGTTGCGGAGGTACTGGTAGGAAAAACTTCAGAAAAAAACTGTATGCATCTCCACACAATGCACGGTCCGCAAATGCGGAGCTACTGGCGGTGCAAGGTTCTCTATAGATGAAGCATAGGCATAAGCAATAAATTACAAATACATAAGGTACAAATACAAGATCTTTCTGTAAACTATCCTACCATAACGATTCAGAGATCAACTGTAAGATCGGTCTGACAGCAGCATGCGATGATATAAACGCTGAAAGATCATCAGCACCTCCTGAAATAAACAAAATACGTGATGATTCTAGCTTATTTTCAGAAGATTCAACCATATAGAAGAAGTCTTACCTCGACCTCGCTGCGAGAAAAGCTTCAGCTGTTCTGCATATGAATCGCAAATCAAGTTAAAAAACAGTCTTCCACGTTCAGCACCAAGACTTCTCATAGCTTGCGTGATCGGTTGGCGAAGAACGTCACAAATATCAGAATTCCAACGCTGCGACATCTGTAATATTCCAAAGACATTGCAAGTAATTAGAGGTGATAAGCGTTATTGCTCAGTTGATGACACACGAATGGAGGTGGCAGGACGATGGGTCAAGAAGCGTGAAATTAATAGTTGGACATAAAGAAGTACATTTTTAGAGTTTGATATAACGTCCCGAGATCATTTCGAATTTACAAAGAGATATCAAAGAGCTGCAGTGCTTTTCTATGGATACAACCAGCTTCACCCCTCCCGCACCCCCCTCCCCCCCCTGACCGTTCCCAGAAAGTGCAGGTCACGAAAATTTGGGCGTAGTCTTACTTGAGAAGATCAAAGGCCACACCCACAAATATTTGCATTAGCGTTTCCCAGTCATAGATTGACAGGTCATTTGCGGATTCGATAATTTGATGCTCTACAATTTCCTACAATACTAGCGAATTTGCCAAAACAGTCTGCTAACAATAAGACTCCATCCGATTTAACGCTGGAAGTCAAGGACAACCGAGTTCCTGCATTGACAGCAGCCATATTGTAAATGAAAGAGTGTGAATCATTTTGAAGAATGACAAAATCTATTGAAAGTATAACCTACACTAGCGAAAGTGTGAAACATCATACATGCTTCACCCGCACAGTTGTTCTCCAGCCTAGCCGTGAGCGAAATCGGTATAAGAGAAGGACAGAAAAGCAACAAGAAAGCAAAATTCTCGAATGCCCATGGTTCAGGAGTTGCTAAAATATGCAAGGATGAAAACACGTGATTCGGTACAAATACGTACTGCTAAGTTCCTCCACTATGTTGAAAATATCGTGCTGATTCCAGGGATTGGGGAAACCAGCTATTTGTTTAGTTCTCATCAAAACTGCCAAAGCATCCGACAAAGGTTTGATTGTTTTTTCCGCTTCGTTGTATGTCATAATTGTTTCATCACAGAACAGCCGCCAATTGATAGTACCTGAATGTGGACGATTAAATCTATGCAGCACACGCTGAAGTACACTTTTACCGGAATGGCTAGTCACAGGCCCAAAAAGCATCATTAGCAGCTTGCTCTGACCCTCAGCTTTTGGAGAGCAACGCATCACTGCTGACAGCCAAAAAGCATACTCAGCATCCCCACCTTCGTATTTGGCGTCTCGCCCTGACAAAAGTAGCGGAAGAAACGTCCCACGAAACTGTACAGAATTTCCAGTCTAGTTTGCACGAAAAAATAATAAAGGCCGAATCTCACCTCCGTGATAACTTCTGACAACGTTTCTATAGAACGACTGTTTTCAATTTTCTTTAGGATGTGTTCGAGTCGACCTTTTGTAGAAAAAAGCACTGCATCGATCACTTTCTTACATTCAGAGAAAGCCCAATTCGAACACATCTAAAATAACGCGAATATTAGCAAAACAAGCCTACGAGATATTTCGCACTGTAGTCTATATGCAGAGTCTTCATAAGATAGTGAAGAAAAAGCTGATTGCGCGGCCACCCAAAGGTCACAAAAGCGTAAAATACTCAAAGCATCAGTTCAAGCAAAAGCCATAATGCATGCAAAATACCCTTTGGGTGGAGATGGAAGCCAAGAAAATGCGTTTGCTGGAAATGCGTACGCATGCGCGCGGCTGCCGCGTTGTCACGATTATGGTAGCCCCTTACTATAGAAGATATGGTTACATTTTAAGCAGAAAAGGTGAGCGCAAAGTAACATACAGTATGCAGTATTCTTCCCAGTCCACAGCATTCAATACCATAATCAACGGCTTTTCGGAAAAATGTCATTAGTATAGTGACACGCTTCTTGGTTGGGAAACAAACAGAAGCCGACTTCAAGAGCGTTCCTGAAAAGATTGCCGGCTGAAATTGCGGAGGAGCACAAAAGCAGGTAGAAAAGATTACGGAAGGTGTTATTGTAGTGCACGAATGTATCACACCGTACTCGTTATCTAATCCTACTTCTCAAGCACAAAAAAAGACTTTCCTTCTCTACAAATTTTCTCAAAGTAGGACCACAACATGAAACATATGTGCGATTGTAAAATTGAGTCAACTGTACTGGAATTAGATTTGTTTCACTCAAGAAAGTAATATACTGGAGAAGAGCGAATGTAACAGCTTAGTAGAATCTTAACCACGTACCGTAACAGTAGAAAGGATCCTCGGTCGTAAAGAATCTCTCTTTGCAATCTCCTTCCACCATGTAAAATGCCTTACTTTCGCGCTGGATGCGATGAAGAAAATGTTTTGAGTCAATATACTTCAGAAGTGCACTATTTAGTGCTGACGAAGTCATGGAAAGAGAACACAAACACTTTACTAAAATGAACAACACTTATTATGTTTCCAGTAGTCAACCTATAAATCACTAACCATCAATACCATCGAATACGGACCAGTGTAGATTAGCAGGCATTTTTCCAAAAAAGCCAAAACCACTGGACGTACATTTGACGTCAGCAGCAACAGCCTTGGAATTAGATGCATGTGCGGCTCCTGAACTCCTTATTATTTTCACCATTACGAAAAAAGCAATATGCCTACCGTATGCACTCGAACGACGGGAGCACTTGAAAGTTTTCTCGACCGTCATCGCTGGAGAAACGCTAGCATCGCGTAAGACCACGCCACTACGCAACCGTTTGCCAATAACGTCAATGGTTCGCTCATGTCCATGCTTGTGAACTGGGAAAAAAGCTGTGATTTTTGGACTGACCTGAAAAACACTTAAGCGTTTGCTGATCCGCAGACGTCTTAATCATTAAGACTACGCAAATGTCTGAAACCCGTTAGTTAAGCGCTATTTCAACTTTCGTCCAGAGGAGAAATATCACACACATCATGCGGTAGCGCAAATTTCTCGGGTTACGGTGGGTATAAACAGATGAGTTGATAATTCAGAATTCGCTCAAAATCTTGCCTAAGGGGTTCTTCAGCTTGAAAGTCACGATTACCATGCTCGTTCGCAGTAACAACAGCCTTTCGTGGAATTAGGTTAGTGACTTACACTGTGTAAATAAGCGACTTTTCCCTTTTCAGCCCAAACGAAAAGGCTTTACTGTGCGAAGTAAGCGCGACTTAGGCGAGACCAAGAATATGATCCGTAATCAGCATTCCGTACTTCTTTGGGCAAAGTCTGAGAAAATTCGAATTTTCCTCCAATTACCGTATATGCACTATAACCCGAGAATGTTCAGCGTACTAGATAACCCCACTAGACGAACGGACAAATTCCTGAATTCGATCCCTGTAATTTGTGGTGGTTCAGTGGGATTCTTTTTGCCCTTTTCGTGCCCCTGTCAACACTAGAGGGATTAGATGGTTTTATTTAGCAACAAAATAAGCCGGTATCTCCGGCACACGATATAGCACTGAGGGAACATCGGTCCAGAGGAGGCTGGCCGATGAGCACAAAGAGCCAGCTATGTGGCAGGCTCATTCTGCCAGAAATGAGTACCATACACAAATGTAAACAATTGGGACAAAGAGTTATAGGGTCGTGTCTTTATCACGACATAATCCTTCCGTAACCCTATCAGCTGAAGTGTGAAATAAATCATCGTCATCAGCGTGCGAAGCCCCCTAGATGGAGTTCTAGCGAAATCAACGATTTTTATTCCTTGCTCAACTAATATGGAACAGTATCGCACATCCTTTGCACTCATCCCAAGATTTGACAATACAATTCCCAAAAATTTTCTGAGACTGCAGTTTATAACTAGTACTCTCCTCTATTACACGGTGCGATTACTGTTCTGATATTATTCAACCTCCATTACAAAACACACGTACGCTATACGACCCAAATGATTTTTCGCAATATAACCATGGCTCACCCTAACAACGTTTTAATTTAAAAATGTGCAAGTTTGCAAATTTGGTTGGCAGCTTGCGGCTGGCGCCAGCTGTCTTTTATAATGTCACATGATCTATGCTGTACAACGCTTTCGACTCTCTTTTAATCTATCTAATGGGACTACCTATTTACAAAAAGGTCCAGATTAGAAAATATCAAAAGAAACGCACTCGTTCAATGATTCCGGATGTCCGATGCTGATTGCTAGATGATGCTGGGGAAGTCCTGTGACGAGCCATTCTGAAAAAGGCAACGGTCCTGAGAAGTTCCCCTCTGCATGATGTAAAGCGCAGGAGAGGCGAAAATACAAACAATATGAAGTTTCTATCATTTTTCAGGAGGTAGCAACGAAAACAAAAGTGTGGGACAAACACAACTTTCGGAAACAGCGGTGTGCGTCGCGTACGCAGCCGCGCAACCAAGCTCTCCGATAAAATCGTTTCTTTGCATCTCCTCTAAATGCCTGATGCGTTAAGCGTATGCGAGGTAGATTATAGGCTCTCTATAAGATCGTGACGATGTATTTGACTGCGGTCTTTGCGCATATTTAACCGACAGGAACAACATCTCCAATAAAACTAATACATCATTTCATTGCTCAGCTCAGCCCGCTCGGATATTCAACAGTTAGTTGTGCAATGCTAGTAAGGTTCCAAATAGGAAAGTCAAGAAAATGTGGTTCCCAAAACTGGGTATCGTCAATTCGTCGACCGCACGGACTGCTCGAACGCTGCGGACCACGCGCGGCGCGGCTGAACTTCGAGAGAGCACGACTTGTACGGTGCATCCCCCAAAACTGTTCCATATGAACCATCGACGTGGCTGTTTTCCGATCCATTTCAACGTGTCAACTTCAAATAAGTGCCTTAAATTTGCTGGAGTTAACTGTTGAAACGATCGGAAGGCAGCCACGTTTATAGCTCATATGTGGACAGTTCTGAGAGATGCACAATACAATGGCATTTGTACTGAGGCAAGCGTTTTATTTCGCAGCTCGGTGCTCGGCAGTGATGTCCAGTCCGTGCGCACAACGAATCAAGTATAGATATTATCGACTCCCCAACTTTGGCGAGGCGGGATCGTGATCTTCACCAAAGATCGATGGACAGGTATGCCTCAGCATAGGGCAACCGCAACGCAAGGCACGCTAGCGCAGCTCCGCCTCGCCAAAGTTGTGGAGCCGCTCATACAGTCGAGTAGATTTTCCGCTAAATATAGTGTGCTTGCACAGAAGGTGAGATGCGGTGAAATTTGCGCGTGAATAAATAGCCACGCAAGTATTGCCGGCATTTTGCGCGCGCAATTGACCGGCGTCCAGTCGAAGCTATTTGTTCACGCGAAAATTTCACCGCATTTCACCTCCTGTGCAAGCACACTATATTAAGCGGGAAATCTACTCTACTGTATGAGCGGCTTCACAACTTTGGCGAGGCGGAGCTGCGCTAGCGTGCCTTGCGTTGCGGTTGCCCGTGCTGAGGCATACCTGATCCATCGATCTTCGGGGAAGATCACGATTCCGCCTCGCTAAAGTTGGGGAGCCGACATTACGAGCGCGCGGCCGCCGCCGCTAACGGCACGTTCTTATAAATATTTCATACCCTCGATATCATCCCATATGTCTTCCCTCAACATGACGTGGATTACGTGGGTTGATGAGGCGCCGCCTTGCTTCGGGCTCGCGCCACGTTGCGAGCGCATCGTTTGGCGCGACCTGGCGCTCAACACAACGTGGCGCAGGCTTTTCCACGTTCTTCTTGTTGCCACATCACGCCGAAAATGCGCACGCAACGTGGCGCAAGCCCGAGGCGAGGCGGCGCCTCATCAAGCCACGTAATCCACGTCATGTTGAGGGAAGACATATGGGATGATATCGAGGGTACGCACAGTCGATCCATTGGTCGCGCGGAGTGGACATCACGCGGAGCACGCGCCGCAAGGTAAAACGCTTGCTCCAGAATTCGTCATTGCATAACCCTGTTCTCGCAGCACTCCAGCCAAGCCGCGCGTGCCCCGCAGCGTTTGAGCATCCGTGCGGTTAACGAATAGATGATAGCTGATACAGACTACAAATATGTAAATATTCAGAATATCAAAGAATATACCCTTGATATCAATCCATATTCTTCCCTTGACATGACGTGGATTACGTGGATTGGTGAGGGAAGACATATGGATTGATGTTTCGCAGCGCGTGCTTGACTCATGAAGAAGCCTGGTCCACGTTGTTTTGAACGCCAGGTCTCGCAAACGAGCGCCCGCAACATGGCGCAAGCTCGGAGCGAGGGGTCTCGCCAATCCACATAATCCAAGTCATGTTGAGGGAAGGCATATGGATTGATATCGAGGGTATGTTTTCAGCGAAAGGAACATCAAGACCTTCCCTACAACCAGTGACGTAGCCGCGAAGGAGTAGCTTGTGGTGGGCGACAATTCCGGCGAGTTCAGCAATTCTAAATTCATTTAAAATATGAGAACGCTAAAGCTTGGAACATTGCAACTGTCGGAGTGCAAAGCATCCCGAGACATCTGTAGATGACATACATAAAAAGCAGCTGCAGTATTCCAGCCCAGTTTAGGCGGAAATTGTACTGGCGGATGTCCGCCTCGCAACAGTTCGCGTCATTTCGCAGCTACAGTATAGGGAATTCGAAAAATCGTGACGATGGCGCGACCGCGCGCGACACGCGCGCATGCCCGGCAGCCGTATTTTCTGGGTTTTCATCTCTACTCAAATGGTTTTTCTGCTTTCAACGGTAGCATTTAGACAGTAAAAGTGATTAAGTAGAGAGTTGAGACAATGCTTTTGTATGAGTGCTTTCTGCTCCTATGGGCGCAAAGTGTGCAGTCAGATCTGCCGTCACGATTTTATGAATGACATAACCTCGAGTCATTTGTAACGTAATATGTGAGACTGCACACTAAGCCCTATGAGCGACGGCACCCTTACTGGTAACATTCCAGTGAAACATTTTTTAGCCTAACAAAGTGTACAAATGTGTTCTATTGACTAACATGTAATCAAGAAAAACAAAAGAGACAAGGAAACAAGCAGAAATTACTGGAAACGAGCGGGTTCTAGTTTTGTTGTTCGTCAGTTAGCGTGCTTGGTGTGCACTACACATATTAAGTTACGAATGACTCGACGATATACATCACGTCGTGCTAGGAACCCATATCTGCGTCTCTTCCTTCTCCTCACTCTTTGTCTGGCAAAATGCCAGCGCTGTGACTCGCAAAGCCTCCAGCGATGCGGACGCGCTGCTCCACGTCAAAAGTTTCGCTATTCCGGGTTGGAACGGACTGTAATATGATCACTTTTTCAGGCATGTAGTAAGTCTTCGCTGTCTTTCAGCGTCAAGTGATCGTAGCACAGAACATGAATCAATAGTACTATGCAGTCTGCCTCAATCGGGATCAGGCCGAATTGTTGGCGTAATTTGCGCGCGCAACGCCAGGGGTCTGCGCTGCATAGCGCGCTGTCGCAGAGAGTGAAGAGATTGAGGAGAGGGCAGACTGGCTAGCCGTAGACGTGACGCAATACCCCTGCGACACGGGTTCCCGCCATGCCAATTTTGGCCTGGTTGGGATTGGGGCAGACTGTACTCAGACACTCGGTGCATGCGGCGCACGCGCCTTTATGCTCAATCCGGAAAGCGCGGTTTGGGGGGCGTGTCCGGCACGGCGCCAAACGCGCGCCATACCAGACGCGTATGCAGAACCATCCGCGAAATGCGTGCCCTTTCATACGCAAGTACGGCTCCCGCCAGAGTGCCGAAGTTATGCCAGCGCTACGCCAGCATTTCGATCGATACACGTGCATTTCGTTGGGGACGTCAGCTAGCCCCGCCCCAACGAAATACACGTGTATCGATCGAAATGCTGGCGTAGCGCTGGCATAACTTCGGCACTCTGGCGGGAGCCTACGCGGCGCGCGTACCCCCAAGCTGTTGTGCAGCAGCGCGAGCGCGATTTAGCCTTTAGCGCAATGGTGCGCGTACTCAAAAGTTCGCCGAGTTGCTTTTTTGAAAAATAGCCCATCCCTTGCCCTGCTTTCTGGGGTCTTACTGCTATTTTCTACAGGTGTTTGTCTTTATTTGTAACTAGACTTTCATTTTGATTTTCTTCCTTGATTTGATGTATTTTATTTTGTGTAAACTTGTGCTATAGCAGAATAAAGTCAGTCAACTATAGTTGACTGACTTTATTTTATTGGCCTTTCTTCCTTGCTGACAGTTTCGGAGAAGGCTTATCCTTTTTTTTGCATTTGTCCGTCTAACGGTAGGAACGAAACGGGCGAGCTTATCCTTTTTTTACATTTGTCCGTCTAACGGTAGGAACGAAACGGGCGAAACCACCATGATCGGTATGCGGGTTTTTCTGATAAGGAAATCTAGTTTTTTGTTTAGGTTTTGCTAACGATATGTTGGGATACGGGTACGACGAACTGGTACTAGGCGCGGACTTTAAAAACTCGGCGTAAGTAGCGTCTCAAAGGTAAGGTCGCAAAGGTATACATACTATGCTAAATGAATATCATTGTCTAATCAGCAGGTCAATAAGCCCCTAAAAAGAACTTTCAAAACTCTGATACTAAATTTTTGTTTGGACTTGTAGACGAACTAGGTAGACTGTGTCTCCGTTGTTTGTAGCCTACGCATTCTGGAGCGTACCCAATGAAGTGCTTATACAAGACATCACTCATAAAAGTGGGGGACCGCAAATGATTCAAAGAACTCAAAACAAATTCTGCTTGTCAAGGTGCTCGGAAAAAGCGAGCAGTAAGAGGTGGCGCTCCAAACAAGATCCATGCTCCAGTCAGATATCCCTAGCTAAGGGCGGATCTACAGTCACTCGAAAAATGCGATGGCGTCCGCATCTGTTCAAGGCTCTGCAATTCGCACTGTGTGCAGTCAATTTTTACAGTTTATAACGCAGTCTCAATTGCTAATACATCAATTTCAGGCGGGATATCAGGTCTTATACGTAAAGGAAAGCGAATCGAAGTGGATACCGCATAAAATAATATTATTGTTGGCTGTTTGATTAGTACTTCATAAATTTATTGCAGCGCCAATCGAAAAAAACTCGCGGAAGAAATGGTCGACTATGGGGTAGTAACAGGAGACGACGACGATCTATCGTTGCTGATGAGTGAAGTTCCATGATAACAATATTTTTGAGTTATATATGTTTATTGCATGTACATGATGCCATTCCGTTATATTTGGTGTACACTATT